GATTTCACACGATCAGACCAATGACAAAGTCTCAGGCGTTGGATGAGAATCATCAAACTGCAGCTGGGACACCACCGACTTCCCCACAGCCCTTTCCCAAGGGACAGCCTTACTCATCTTCAGCTGAGCGAGACGCTGAGCCCTTTCTTACACACGCCGGGGACATTTCTTAAGCGGGGAAATGTAGCAGCCAGGTCTTGTTCTAAAGGGTCATTTCTCTCCTCACGAGTCCTTGAGCTTATTGAAGCGACAAGGATTTCGGCTTCGGGAGGCAGCAGCCCGAAGAGAAAAGCCGAAGCCCTGGGGTGTATTCCTGACTCTGGCAGGACATTCACCCCGCCTCCCGCATTGTGCTTTCCTTTTTCCAAGACGGGGAAGTTCATCCCATCCCCAACGGGACCTGAAGCGTCCCCCATCTGCTCTCCTAACAGCCCAGGTTCTTAACGAGCCCTTCGCTGGGGCTACATTAGGGCTACAATTAAAATCTTCCTCTAAATCTGCCTTTCTTCCAACTGCGAGCCAAACCAGAAGGAATCAGTTGAATCCCCCAGCTTCTCGGACAGCAAAGCAAGATGCGACGATGAAAATACATTTCGGCAAGAGGAGCGCTTTCTCCCGAGGAGGATTTGGCACTGAGCGGGCGACGGCGACGCTTCAACGAGTCCCGTGAGACCTGCCAGCCCCAGGGGGGAGAACCACGGGACTGCCCGAGGGGCCTCTCCCTACCCCCGAGGACCGGGAGGTCACCCACCTTGTGGTACTGCCGGTTGCACACTTCGGCGAGGTGCAGCCCCGTCACCACGCCCAGCCTCGCCGCCAGCCGCTGCAGGAGCAGCCCGATGATCGTCGCCAGCATCAGGACCCAGAGCAGCTGAGGGAGACACGAAGGCAGCAGTGGGTGCGCCGGGGCAGCAAGAAACGACGGCGATGGACGAGGTCCCAGGTCCCTTAGGACGCCTGCGCCCCGCAGGCGCCTTTGGGAATCCCAGGCCTTTTAAAATACACATTATTGACATTCGGAGGCTGTTTTAGGTGCCCAGAGCTGGCACAGGAAGGCTCCAAACGCATATACAGCCAGGAGTCACTGCTGGAGGGGGCATACGAGGGCACCTCGCTCTCCCCTTCTCCTCCTCAGAGGTGTTTTCAGCTCAGCAGCGCTATCGGTGCTCCCTGCCCTAAAACACGGACGGTTTACATGACTTACAGCGCTTAATCTGTAGTTTTTTTCTGCACTGACCTTAAATCCTGCGACAGCCCCGGACTGTAAATCCGACTCGATGTTGCCTGGGTCCAGGTAGGCAATGCTCATCAGAAAGCCCGGCCCCGTGAAAGCCCAGAGCTTGCGGAAACTAAAGCACGAGTGCTGTTGAAGGGGAGAGAGGATCGAGACGTCAGACGTCAGCCCTGCAGCGGAGCCCCCTCCTAAAAGAGGGGACGCGTCGTCCCCACGAACCACCCCCGCCAGCAGGCATAAAAAATGGCAAGAGACAGCCGGGGTTTGATTTTCATTTCCTCACCGCCACAACAGAAAGCGGCGCTGGGAGGATCAGCCTGTCCTTTAATCCCATCCTAAACTCCGCAGAAATCTCTGGTCCTAACCTAAAGAGTTTAGGAGCAGACTCTGGGACAGCCAAGGACACGCTCGTGTAAACCTGGGGGGGAGATGAATCCTGCTGTGCCTGCAGCCCAAAATGCTGCCTTGTTGCTCAATCAAAAGGGGAGAGGGCACCCGCACCCCATGCAAAGGGGACAGTGCTGCTACGAGGGCCAGCTGGAGCACTCTTGCTCCCTTCCCTCGATAAGGGAACAAAGAACCCAGGTCCCCTCCCCTGGGGCTACCAGCGAGACATTTCTCTGCTCTTTAGCAGATCTTGCTGCCCCGAGTTTCTTGAAGGAGACAAACCCTGAGGGATGAATCATTAACTGAACAGCGAGCGCGGGACCCTCGCCGCTCCCAGGTCCCCGTCCAGCAGCCCGGCTGCTTCTAGGCAAGAAGGGGAACCGGCGCCCAGCGGAACGACTCACGCGGGTACCGAGCGCCGGCAGATTTTTTCCTACGGGATTTTCCCACCGGAGCGAGCGGAGGAGGGCCCAGCCGCACTCACCGTCTCATCTTCGGGAATGGGAATCTTGTTGTCAAAGTAGGTGGTGAAGGGCTCCTCCGAGGAGGCGTCCGGCGCCTGCAGCGGGTTCATGCTGCTGGAAATCGTGCTGACCACCTCCCCGTGCTCCCCTGAGGCATCCTCTGCCGGGGGGAAAGAGAAGCAGAAAAGGAAGGAGGAGTGAGCGAGGGTCCCTGGAAACGCGGGAAAACTTGGCAGGGGCCCGGCAAGACCCACAGGCAGAGCAAAACGAGCGTGTTCTGCCCTCGCAGCTAATGCTAATTAGGCTAATTAGGCCATAATCAAACGAAAATAACACCTACTGCTGTAAACCCACCCTGGGAGACCACACCGCCTCGCCCAGGCTCTCCCTCTCCCGCACGGTGGGAGGAAGCTGGTTAGCTGGCAGCTCATTTATTCAGATTAATCGTACGAAAGCCGTCACCGGGCACCGTGCGACCTAACGGCAGCCCCGCAGTCTCACCGTAATCATTAACCGGGACTGAACAAGCCAGATCCAAGAGAAACCTGCGGCTATTTCGGCACCATTGCGGAGAGCATTAACCCCAAACTCTCCTGGCTGAACGGAGCGTCTGCGAGAAGTTTAGTCCTGGAAGGACCCGGCTACCCTGCGGAATCCTGTTCCTACCCAGGGAACGCACAATGCAGCACTTGTTTGGAAATAAGTGACAGTCAGGCGGCTGCCCGACAGTTTTGCCTTCTCCTGCAGCACGAGAGGCAGGCGGGAGAGCCAGCCTTGATGAATTTTCAGGACACGTTCTAAATTTAACTCGTGAGGAAGGTGTGCGGGGTTACTGCAGCAAGGAAAATGCCCACAGATTACGTGTTAAGACTTGTAAGACCACCCGATTCCTCCCTTGCCCACCTGCAGCGAGAAGCCCCTTCTCCCGAATCGAGCCAGTACTCACTTTTGCTCTCCCTACGTGGCATCTCGCTCTACGAGCCGAAGAGCCGCACGCGTCCCGAGCGCCCAGCCTTCGCAAGAGGAGGACTAAACCCACGGCCAGCTCTTTTACCAAGTTTCCTATTGCATCATCAGGGTGAACCGAAGTCGATCGCTCCTCCTTTTTCCCTGCCTCCCAAACAGCTCGCAGGGCTGCCTGCGCTGCCACAGACCCGTTTACATAATGGCTTAGAGCTCCTTGCCTGCGTGCGGGCAGGTGAGAGATGGGTCTGCAGAAGACAGGCTGGTTCATCTAGTTAAGCAAGGCTGAGCGAGCCCTGGGACCAGTAAATCTGCTGCTGGGGCCATCTCAAAAGCCTGAGGGTTTGTGTCCACTATGATAATCAAGCGGCGAACGGGCACGCCGAACCCTTGGGGTGGTTTTTGCAAGACAAAGGAATTAATGAAATGGAAGGTGGATGTATGAGGGCGAATGCGCTGTGCCACAACGTGAGCCTCACCGTAGGACGCCTTCCGGTCCGTGTCCGAGTTCCCCATGCTGGGACCCTTCCAGTGGCCTGGAAACCGGTTTAGATCGGCCACGTTGGCTGCAAAGGAGAGGAGGAAAAAAAAAAATCCCGTCAAGCAGGAGAATAAAAGAAGAGAGCCAACTGAACCAACAGCGCCTGGCAGGGACGGATTTACTTCCCGGGCCCTTTTCCAGCTTTGAAGAGCCTCGCAGGGCCGGGAGGGAGCGTTTTGCCCGGGCTCTGCTTGGAAACTGCTGTTGCAACAGCACGAAGAAGGGGCGAGTGGACTGACCGGGCAAACCAACACGACACCAGCGCCTGCAAGCAGCCAGGCTTAGGACAGTGCCGGTTGCGAAACGCCGGCTAAGGAAACAAGAGTGGAATTTCCTTCATGTGTAAAAATGACATACCATCCCTCTCCTTCCAGGCACGATTATTACCTCCGCGCCGCACCCCTTGCAGGGCGTCTGAAGTTTCTTTTAAGGGCATGAGCTAACTCTTTCATGACGGCGTATTTTTAAACCTAACCCCACGCAGGAAGGAACCGGGAGCCGGTACAGGACTTTGGATGAAGTTGGGGTCCTCCGGGCTTTAAATGTCATCCCCCGCCAGGCCCCTCAAGGACGAGGCAGAGCACCAACGTTCGGTACGTAAAGCACTTAATCTCCCTCAAAGCCCGTCGTATATTAACGGCAGGTTTCCTTATAACATGGCAATATTGGTTCAGTGAAGGCGTAAAAGGAAAACGTTAGCCAGGAATTTCTTTTAAGGGATTTAAACCAATTTTAGGTTTTCAAAGATTAATTCCCCGGTTCCAGAGCCAGCCCCAAAGGTGGCTTGTAGCCAAGCCAGGCACGCGAAAATAAGCCAGAGAGGGTTACTTCACGCCGGAGCTGGAGCGATACCGTTTCTTGTAGGCAGGGCTACCATCGTTATTTATCTATCTATCCAAATATACTCGAGATTTTAGAGTCTTGACTCCAGGGCGACAAGATGAATAAAGCACGCCCCGTGCCCCGCGAGCTCCTCCAACTCGCCGCTCACGCCCGCCAGCAGCGCTCGGGGAAGGAGTTTCGCCACTTCGCAAATAATCTTGAGTGTTTGCTCTGGACCAGCACGTGAGGAGAATTCATCCGTGCCGGTACGGAGCGAGGCGCTGAGGTTTCACCAAAAAAAACGTAAGATTTCCCACCCCGCTTTTTTTGCTGCTCCCCCACGGCCGCAGGAGCCAGCTCTGCCTCTCCCGCGGAGCGGACACCCCGGTGCTAAAGTCACCGGCTCTTCCAGCCTCACCGGGGCGGCGGAAAGTGGCTCCGGTCTGCAAGCTGGTCGCCCGGGGACGGGAAGGCTGGCGAGGACGTGGGGCTGGCCCAGTCATGGCTCCTTCGGCACGACGCGGAGGGAAGCGGGATGCCCGATGCCGCCGCGGGGAGCTGCGACGCTGTGGTCTTAAACACATCACGGCCCCGGGGAGCAACGGGGAGCGAGCATCTCCTGCCACCTCGGCCCTCGGAGAGGACAAGTGCCGCCTCTCCAGCCTCCGCAGCCCCTGCCCGAGACTTCTCCCTCCAGCAGCTCCCGCTTGGACAGGGACAACCTCAGGGCTGGAGCAAAGCTTTTATCTTTGCACACACTTACACTCTTTTCTTTCTTTACAGGCTCCTTTTTAAAGCTTTCATTAATAAAAAAGGGCTTTCATTAATAAAAAAAGCTAAGGTTTAGCAATAAGCCATCTTTCCCCCGAAATCTAATTCCTTCGGGAGAAACAGCGCTTACCCTGGCAGCAAGTCCCGTGAAACACTCACTCCATTAATAAAGGGAAGAGGAAGAAGATCACATGGCGAACGTTCGTTACGGTGTGAGACTGACCTAAATATCTCCTTGCAAAACACATCCCAGCTTGGGCGGGAGCGAAATCGGTTCCCCTATCGCCGCCGGCAGCTGCCGAGGTCGTGACGG